ACTCCAGCTCCACACTGTATTGACTCTGACTCCAGCATCTGCAGTTCTTGCTATCTCCATATTGTATATCCTTGTTCGGGTAATGAATGGTATCCCTGCCACAAGCAGTCAATTTTTTCCCCAAAAACATACTTAATTCATAAAGTTTGTCAAAGTATATTACAACCATTTCCACTTGAAGAATTACAGAATTTATGCCAAAACCCAACTTGTCTCCATACCTCATGTTCCAATCTTGGGTCTCTTAATGCAGTTGTAACAGTCTTAATATTTACAACACACATTCCATGTCAGGTATACAACCTGAGGGCAAAGCATTTCAAATTGAATATTTTATAAGCAGAAATAGGGCCAGGGTGTTTCTACACACCACTCTGAGGTATTTCACATACTTTCAATACCAACACGAAAGATGTTGTGAAACTTGAAAGGGTTCAGAAAAGATTTACAAGGATGTTGCCAGGGTTGGAGGGTTTGATTTATAGGGAGAGGCTGAATAGGCTGGAGCTATTTTCCCTGGAGCGTCGGAGGCTGAGGGGGTGGCCTTATAGAGGTTTGTAAAATCATTAGAGGCATGGATAGGGTCAATAGCCAAGGTCTTTTCCCTAGGGTAGGGGAGTCCAAAACTAGAGGGGCATAGATGTAAGGTGAGAGGGGAAAGATTTAAAAGGGACCTGAGGGGCAACTTTTTCACACAGAGAGGGGTGCGTATATGGAATGAGCTGCCAGAAGAAGAGGTGGAGGCTGGTACAATTATAACATGTAAAAGGCGTCTGGATGGGTCTATGAATAGGAAGAGTTTAGAGAGATATGGCCAAATGGTGGCAAATGGAACTAGATTAATTTGGGATTTCGGGTCAGCACGGACGGGTTGGACTGAAGCGTCTGTTTCCATGCTTTACATCTCTATGATGGAAAGACTGTTGATGTTCACAATGACCACTCCTGTCAGGCACACATGAAAACCCTTAGTAACAGGAGGGTGTGGTTCTACCCACACTTCCTAGGACCTCATTTCAGTCACTACTCTTTATGGTAAGCCTTGACTTATGCAAGCTTTTGGATTTTCACATATTTGGTCGGGTGATTGGGGTGGTAAACATATCCTGTCCACATCTAATGTGCATCAAAACACAAGTGATTTCAGCAAGACTCAGTGGATTATCATTGAGAATGAGGATCACTCGCTACAAAATGTCCCCCATTCCTCCATACACTGCCTATAGATAAGGCACAAGTCAGAAGTGTGATAGAATATTCACCACTTGCCTGGATGGGGGCAGCTCTCAATAACACTTAGGAAGGGAAGGACACTCAATGGGGAATCATAGACATGACTAACCCAAGCTTTTGCACCCTGTGGTGTAGGCCATTGCAGCTGCAGTACACTGCTGTGCTTCCACATTATCAAATTCAAGTGCTCAGTAGAAATTGTCACAGCAATCATCCTCTATGTTTCTCCTCCACAGAGCATCTGAAGGTGCTATCAGATTGCAACCTTTACACCTACCTGAATACGGACACAGCAACATTGAATGGAGTCAATGATGCTACCAATTTCACTGCAGTTAAAGTAAGTGACTTGTGTTTCAAAAGGGAATGATAACCTTATGCAGCATGGTTCCTGCAGAGTATTAAAGGTACACAGGCTCAGGTAAAATTTATTCCCCATAACATCCTGCAAACCTCCAAAGTAAATATGGAAATGAAGTGTGCAAATGCTGCCCCCCCTGTTATCCTGCAAGATGAGGAACTAAGTAAAGCGAAGATGACATTTTGTTTCTTGAAATGGATTTGCCTGGGGTTTCCAGTTTGTATGAAGGGTGTCCGGACTGAATGTGGTGTGTTTGGCATGTATATGGACTGTTTCAGATATATCCAAGGTATCTGTGATATCTGCAGGTGTCTAGCTGTTTCGGTTAACATGGATGTTTTTTATTCAGACTGTTGTGCAGGTAGGATTTGTTCAGGGTGACAATGGAATCTGGTGGATATCACCAGACCAGCACCACAATTCTCACCAAGATGGCAGCTAATTGCCTATGCCCAGTGAAGCCCTGCACCCGAAACAGTCAGCATTAAATACCATTAAATTTACTGCTTCTCCTGGTACTCAAATATGCCTTGAGCACTGTTGTTCTTTGTCTTTTATTTTTAGAAAATCTAATAAAATTGTTATGTTTTATTGTGAGGGAATTGAATGCAAAAGCAGGCAAGTTATGCTTCAGTTATACAGGACACTGGTGAGACTGCATCTAGAATACTGTGTAAGGTACTGGCCACTTTATTTAAGGAAATATGTTAATGCATTAGAGACAGTTCAGAGAAGGTTTACCAGACTGATACCTGGAATGGGGGAGAGGTTTAAGAGGAAAGGTTGGATAGGCTAGATGGGATGTGGAGAGGATGTTTCCTCTTAAGGGAGAATTCAGAACAAGGTTAGGGGGGAATTATTGTTTAAAAATAAGGGTTTGCCCATTTAGGACCGAGATGAGGAGACTGTTTTTCTCACAAAGGGTGGTGAATCTTTGAACTCTCTTCCTGAAAAGATCCTCAAATATTTTAAAGGCAGAGATAGATAGATTCTTGATAACGACAGGGGTGGGGTGAAAGGTTATCAGGGGGTAGGGAGCAATGTAGAGTTGAAGTGTAATCGGATCTTATTGAATGGTAGAGCAGGCTTGACAGGGCCGAATGGCCTACTGCTGCTCTTGGTCTGTATGTTTGTATGTTGTACTTAATGTTTCCACTGGCGGGTGAAACTAGAACAAGGGGGCATAGCGTCAAAATGAGAAGGAGCAGATTTAGGACTGAGTCAAGGAGTAACATCTTCACCCAAAGGGTTGTGAATCTGTGGAATTCCCTGCCCAGTGAAGCAGTTGAGGCTACCTTGTTGAATGTTTTTAAGGCAAAGATTTTTGAGTGAAGGAATTAAGGGTTATGGTGAGCGGGCGGGTAAGTGGAGCTGAGTCCACGAAAAGATCAGCCATGATATTATTGAATGGCACAGCAAGTTCAAAGGGGCCGAATGGCCTACTGCTGCTTCTGATCTGTATGTTTGTATGTTGTACCTTATGTATGCAGCGTAGGGTGGCATCGTAACAGTGTGGAGCTTTGAGGGCATGAACCCGCATCTCACCTCTATACAGGAACATAAATTATTGCTTTAAAGAGACGAGAGACGAAAGACAAACCAGTTGCACAAACTGCTTGATCTGCACAAACACTGGTGTACTGAGAAACCTGAATGTATTCAATACACTCACCTCACAAATGTCATGCAATCAAAGCGTACACTTTGAGATAGATTAGCTTCATAATTGAGTGTCAGGGCATGGTCCAGTAGTTAGCAATCTCATCTCCGGTCTGAAAATTGTTGGTTCAAGTGACATTGCAGAAACCTGAGCAGTCAATCACAGCTGACAGTGCCAATGCAACAAAATAGGAGCACTGCTCTGTTCAAGGTGCTGTCTTTCAGATGAGCGGTTAAACTGAAGCCCTGACCGACCCTTCTGGTGGGCAAAGAAGATCCCATGGCCACTATCGGAAGCAGAGAAATTCTGGTACTCTGGCCGATATTTATCCTTCAACTGACATCTTGAAAGCACAACATCTTATCATTGTTCGCTGTTTCTGATACATTGCTGTGTGCAAGTTGATTATTGCTTTTGCCTTTTGTAACTACAAAATGCACTTAAAAATGACTTAATTGGCCGCAAGATGCTTTGGAACGTCCTGACAATGTAAAAGGCGCAATTTAATTGCAAGCTCTTTCTGCTTTTGATTATGTGAATATCCTTCTAAATTGTAAAGTGGGATCCTAAAAGAGACGCATGAACACATCCTAAAACATACCCAAGATTGTATACTTAAAATGCAATGATTTCATTGCACTGTGCACATGTGTGCATGTAACTTTTCAACAATAAAAAAAAATCAATAAACATGTGTGGTCTGATGCATTGTGTCATCCTGAACATAGAGTTCGCAATTATCTCCTGAATTTGAATTGCTGCAATGAGCCGTGGGAAAATTTTCACCTACCTGCTGCACAGACTAGATAGGGAGAAGTTGTACCCACTCGTAAAAGGAACAAGAGAAGACGGTGTAGATTTAAAGTGATATGCAAACTCACCCAGCGAGTAGTTAGGAATGCACTGCCTGGAAATGTGGTGGAGGCAGGTTCAATTGAGGCATTAAAGAGGGACATTGGATGGTTATTGGGATAGAAGTGGGGTGCAAGGGTATGGGGTAAAAGCAGGAGAGTGGCACTAGGTAAGATGCTTGTTTGAAGAGGCAGGGCAGACCAGATGGGCCAAATGGTCCCCTTCTATGTTGTACATTTCTGTGATTCCTTTGGCATTTGGCACAATTTCTTGAAATCTTTCTGCATTCTTAGCAACTGGCGAGGCCAAATTGATATTATTACTATAGTTGATTCTGATCACACCAAGTGACATTTGGCCACGTTACTGGAGAAAGCGTTGAGCTCTGACCAAGTTGTTTCCCTGAGCTAAAATGAAGTGATCATCCACAGTTACTGCATTGGATGTCTGACTACTTGTATTGCAGACTGCCATGGAGGTCATCGGATTCAGTAATACTGAAGTGGACTCCATTATGGAGACTGTTGCAGTCGTACTTAAACTTGGCAACATCACGCTGAAGTCAGAACATCAGACAACTGGCATGGAACGTTGCTACATTGACGATACTAAAGGTAAGGATCCCAAGGCTGAAATTGGTTCAATTATGAGGATAGGTTGTGTAGGTTTTGCCTGTTTTCTCTAGACTGATTTGATTGAGGTGTTTAAGATCATCGAAAGATTCAATAGTATCAATAAAGTGAAACTATCTTCTCTGATGAGGTAAGAATTCAGAACAAGTGGCAGAACCTTTAAATTAAAGCCAAGCCATTCAATATGATGTCAGGGAGCACCTCTACACATAATAAAAACTGAAAGAATTGCAGATACTGTAAATCAGAAACAAAAACAGAAATTGCTGGAAAAGCCCAGCAGGTCTGGCAGCATCTGTGGAGAGAAAGGGTCTCTGTTCTGAGGAAGGGTCACTTGACCCGAAACGTTAACTCTGATTTCTCTCCAAAGATGCTGCCAGACCTGCTGAGCTTTTCCAGCAATTTCTGTTTTTGTTACCTCTTCACATAAAATGGGCAAGAGTACGGCAGATGGAATGTAAAGTGGCAACGTCTGAGGTTATCCTGTTTGGAAGGAGGAATGGAGATGTAGAGTATTTCCTAAATAGGGAGAGATTAGGAAGTGTCAATGTTCAAAGGGGCCTGAGAATCCATGCTCAGAAGTCGAAAGCTAGCATGCAGGTGCGGCAAGCAATTCAGAAAGGCAACCGGTATGTTGGGCTTCATTGCAAGAGTACAGGAGTAAAAATGTCTTACTTTAGTCGTACAGAGCTTTGGTGAGACTGCGTCTCCTTATCTGAGGGAAGGTATACTGTCCACAGAGGGAGCACAGCAAAGGGACACTGACCCTTGGGATGGTAGGAGGGATCGAGGAGACTGGGCCTGTAATTCTCTGGAGTTTAGAAGAATAGGAGGGGATCACAATGAAATTTATAAAATTCTGTCAGGGCTCAGTGGGGGGGAGATGCAGGAAAGAGGCTCCTCCCCACCCTGGGCTAGGGACAGAGGGGTCTAGAACCAGAGGACATAGTCTCACAGTAAGGATTGAGCTGAGGTGGAATATCTTCTCTGAGAGGATGGTGAGTTTTTGGAATTCTCCACACAGAGGGTAGTGGAAGTTCCATCATTGAGCAGTCTCAAGGCAGATCAATAGATTTCTAGATACTGACAACATCAAGGGATGCAGGGATAGTCAGGAAGATGGTGTTGAGGGACGTGATCAACAATGATCTAGAATGGCAGAGCAGGCTTGAGGGGCTGAATAACCTCCAACTGCTCCTATGTTCAAATAAAAGGTAGTGGAAATTTGGAACTCTCTATCTCCAAAAGCTGTTAAGGCTGGAGTTTAATTGAAAATATGAAAACTGAGATACAGATCAGACATGGCTTCCTCCTTTTCCTATGTTCCTAAGGATATGGAGCCAAGTCTTTGAGTTGCTGTTTCATCTGGTGGTTTTTGGGTAAGTACTGTAAGGTCATGCTATTGGGACAGGAACAGCAATAATCTTGCAGCAGTCTAATCTAGGACAAGGCAACAATACACCTTGGTACCACACAATCTAATTGCTGTATCTTGCCTTCATAGTCAATATTTTTGAAGCTTATTTTCCACTCTGTCTTTGCTCTCCCCCACCCAGAACCTTCTGAGGGTAGATAGCAAATCATGGAGCCTGCTGGGGGAAACCTGGCTCTGATGTCCCCACGACAATCACTTGTAGGAAAGATGCACATACATTGACACAGAGAGAGATCTGTCAGCTAATGTCTGCATGTGTCTTACATTCTGACAGTTGAAGCATTCAGTTTAAAAGTCTTGCCATTTGTTTTTCTGCGCAGTACTGGATGAAATCTGCAGTTTGATTGGTCTCAATGAATCCATTTTCAATCAAGCGCTGTGCTCACGCACTGTGGAAGCCAAAGGCGATAAAGTGATGACAACATTATCTATTGCTCAGGTGAGGTATTATGTTTGAAAGAAATCTAAAGAGTGATCAGTACCTGGGAGTGAGTGAGTGATGTAGAGCCATGGTTGTTACTGTTAATGTAATGCTTCCTTAATGGTTGGGGGTTGGATAGTTCAGTTGGCTGGAAGGCTGGTTGTGATGCAGTGTGCTACCAACAGTGTGAGTTCAATTCCTGCACTGGCTGAGATTACTATGAAGGCCCTTCCTTCTCCACCTCTCCTCTTGTCTGAGGCATGATGACCCTCAGATTAGACTCACCACCAGTCATCTCTCTCTAATGAGAGAGCAGTCCTCTGGGACTAGGGTAACTTTACCTTTACCTGTTACTGTAAGGAGGAACTGGGCAGAAACAGCTTTCAGTTCGAACCTTTATAAGCACAGAAGACATTTTCACCCACTGAACTGGACTGGATACAAAGCCAAGTTCCAGAGCTGAAAGGTCCAGTGTCTCATCCAGGGCATATTGTGTTTCTCTCTCCCATCTGTAAGTCATAAAGAATTCAAAGGATTTTACAGTGTTATTTTGTTTTTAACTTGTGTGCACAGTTCTTGAACTAGTTCTCAATTTTTAACAGGATGAATAACATGCAACAACCTCATTATAAAGATGTGTTTTTTTTTGCACAGGGTTACTACGCACGTGATGCTTTGGCTAAAAACCTTTATGACCGCTTGTTTAACTGGCTGGTGAACCGAATTAATGAAAGTATCCAGGTAATTGGACACAGTAGGGATCCTGTGTTCATCATACTGGGGCTCATTTGGACAAATGTCAGTCCTGTATTACTGGATCCCTGCAGTTATTCGTTGCTATGATCGTATTATTGAGAGATTCGATAGAACACAGTGGGAAAATTGAGTCAAATTATCCAGGTCAGGAATTATACAAGAGGATTTAACAATGTGTTAGCAGTTCCCTAACTGGTTCGGAGAGTACTGTGTACTGCTGAGGCTTACAACGAAGAAGTTCTGCCGGGTTCAGTCTCCTCTCTAGAATGGGACAGTTGGCCTCATTGCTGCTGGCAAAACTCAGAGGGTGTACTCATCACTAATCTGCAGCAAAGTGCATTTGTATTGAGACTCCAATTGAGGATAATATTGGGTTGACTATGATGCCCCTCACAGTCAAATAGCTGTCATAAAGTCATACGGCATGGAAAGAGGCCCTTTGGCCCAACGTGTCTGCACTGGCCATCAGGCTCCCAGCACTTGGCCCTTGGTCTGGTGTGTTCGGGCATTTCAAGTGTTCATCTAAATACTTCTTCAATGTTGTGATGGTTCCCACCTCTCCCACCCTCACAGGCGATGAGTTCTAGATTCCCACACCCTCTGGGTGAACAAGTTCTTCCTTAAATCCCTTCTAAACCTGCTGCCCCTTACCTTAAATCTATGCCTCTTGGTTATTGGCCCCTCTATGAAGGGGAAAAGTTTCTCCCAACTATGCCCCTCAGAACTGTGTCCACCTCAATCAGGTGGCCCCTCAGCCTTCTCTGCTTGAAGGAAAACAATCCCAGCTTATCCAGCTCTCTTCATCACTGAATCTATCTAGCCCAGGCAACAGCCCAGGGTGAATCTCCTCTGCACCCTCCCCAGTACAATCACATCCTTCCTATAGTGTGGCGACCAAAACTGCACACAATACAGTGGCCTAACTAATGTTATATACAGCTCCGTCATAACTGTCCTGGTCTTATATTTGATGCCTTGACTATTAATGGCAAGTATCTCATATGCCTTCTTAACCACATTATCTACCTGTCCTGCTGCCTTCAAGAATCTATGGACATGCACAGCAATGTCCCTCTGAGGCTCTGTACTTTCTAGGGTCCTACCATCACGTAATCCTTTGTGTTGTTAGTGCTCCTGAAATGCATCACTTCATACTTTCCAGGATTAAATTCTATTTACCACATTGTTGATGCTCATGTTATTCTCAAACTTACAGATCATACTGCCTATATTCATATCTAAATCATTAACACACACAATAAATGGTAAGGGCCCCAGCACAAAACCTTGTGGGACGCCACTGGACTCAGGCTTCCAGTCACCAAAATACCCTTCCAATATCACCCTCTGCCTCCTGCCACTCAACCATTTTTGGATCCAATGTGCCAAACTGACCTGGATGCCATGGGCAGTTACCTTCTTGACCAGTCTTCCATGTGGCATTTTGTCAAAAGCCTTACTGAAGTCCATGTAGATTACATCCACAGCACTACCCTCATTCACACATCTAGTCACCTTCTCAAAATATTCAATCAAATTTGTTCCACCTGATCTCCCCCTTGCCTCTCCAGGTGGAGGCTAATTCTGTCCCTCAGGATCTTTTCCAACAGTTTTCCTCCCACAGATGTTAGACTCACTGGTCTGTTGTTTCCTAGTTTATCCCTACCACTCTTCTTGAATCATTCACATCTGAATGATAGCCATTTGTTCCAGGTTCTGGAGTAATGTCAGTGGAATTTATTATTGTATGAGAGAGTGCCTTCAGAAGAGAAGGCGAGATTGGGAGTTGAGCACTGGAATGGAATAGGAGAGATTATTAAGATGTCTCACATTCTTCAGGAGTTGACGGTGTAGTGGTAATATCACTGGCTTAGAAATCCCAAGATCCAGTCTCTGGGGACATGGGGTTCAAATCCTACCATGGTAGCTGCTGGAAATTTAACATTATGTTAATAAACCTGGACTATAAAGTTAACCTCAGCAAGTGTAGCCATAAATCTATCATTAATTGTGGTAAAAACCTCTCTGCTTCACTAATTTCCATTTTAAGGAAGGAAGTCTGCCATCCTTACCTGGTCTGGCCTAAGTATGACTGTGGACCCAGAGCAATGTGGTCGACTCTTCTATGCTCTCTGAAATGGCCAAGTGAGCCACTCAGTTCCAGGACAGTTAGGGATGGGCAACAAATGCTGGCCTTGACAGTGACACCTACATCCCATGAAAAAATAAAGAGACAAAACAAACAGGGTTATGAAAAATGAGATTAATTAGAATCATTTCCATTCAAGGTGAAAGGCAAGGTCCAGAAGAAAGTGATGGGAGTGCTGGATATATATGGATTTGAGATTTTGGAGGTGAGTTTGCATTTTTCCTGTCGAACAATTCCAGAGCAAGGCAGCAATACAGAATGCCAGGGAGATCTGACATGATGGACAGCACTGTTGGTGGGAACTGGGCTGATAACAGCAAATACTACACAGTATTTACAGCCCTGTAGCCCCGATATAGGATTCCAGGAGCCCCAGCACCTTCTGGAGAGATTATTAAAAAAAAAGTCATTGTTTGTTTTCCCCCATTTATTTGAGTTGGCCCGGTATGAAAACTTTGAGTGAATTTTATTTCTGCTCCTGAAAATGTTGAAGGTTCATGTTGATGTTTTTTGGTGGCTCCAGGCTCTACTAATTTCTGATCGGAGTGGTGTTCCTTTGCTGTTAGCTTGATACATTGATTGATTTTGTTGTGATCTATTTTTGATCCGTGAGATTTTTCTCTCTTCAGAATTCCTCCACACTTGGAGGAGCAGAGACTAACCATCTCTCAGCCAGTATGAATGGTTAATGACATGCAATTGCCTGTTTGTTTTCAAACCCACCCCATGTTTTCAGGGAATTGCTTCGGTTCTCTCATGTGCCTTCTTTACTCGTGAGTCTGAGAGCGTTTTCACCTCCACGCTGCGCAGTTTGGGGTTCAAAAACCTCACCATGGGGTCTTGAAAATCTAGGCTGATGCTCCCAGGAGGAGCTGCATTGTCGGAGGTGAAAGCTTTCAAATGTGTTGCCTTCCCCGCCAATTGGATGTAAATGATCCCACAGCCATTATTAGAGGAAGAATCCCCAGTGTCCCATCATAGAATCCCTATAGTGTGGAAGCAGGCCATTTGGCCCATCGAGTCCACACTGACCCTCTGAAGAGCATCCCACCCAGACTCATCCCTGTCCAACAGCTAACCTACACATCCCTGGGCACTACGGGCAATTTAGCATGGCCAGTCCTCCTAACCTGCACCTCTTTGGACTGTGGAAGGAAACCCACGTAGACACGGGGAGAATGTGCAAACTCCAGCAGACAGTTGCCCGAGGGTGGAATCGAACCTGGGTCGCTGGCGCTATGAGGCAGCAGTGCTAACCACTGTGCTACCATACAATCCCGAGCCAATATTTATTCCTCAGTTGATACAAATGCTCCAGTCATTATCACACTGCTGTTTGTTGGAGCTTGCTGTGCACAAATTGGCTGCCATGTTTCCTACAATGACAACAATCAACACCGACTCAAAGTGTTTTGGGATGGCTTGTGGTTGTGAAAGGTGCTGTAGAAATGCAAGTTCTTTATCCGATGAGCTTCATACACTGTTTCAAACCTCCCCCATATGTCTTCTCTTAGGACAATAGTTTTGAGCAGTTTGTGATAAACTACTGTAATGAGAAGCTGCAGCAGATCTTTATTGAATTGACATTAAAAGAGGAGCAGGAAGAGTACATACGAGAGGTAAGCTATCCCTTAATTCCCTTTACGTACACAATAAATATTCATTAAGATGGGAAGACCAGGACCTACTCTGCACGGTGCTTGATTCTTATTCTGAAAACAACAAATGCTGCAGATCGCAGCGGGTCAGACAGCATCCAACAGCATTTGTTGTTTTCAGTTCAAGTTCCAGCATCTGTAGTAATTTGCTCCTACTTTGATTCTTATTCTGTTTTTCAGGGGATCGAATGGACGCAGATTGAATACTTTGACAATGCCATCATCTGTGACCTGATCGAAAATGTACTTTTTCAAATTTTCACTCCTTTAGTTGTTATTTTTGTATTCCCGCACACCGTGGATGAGTATGTATGTGAGCAATGTATATTCTTTTGTCAATTAATTATTTTAATGAGCAAACTGCAACGTTCCTCCCAAGCCAGTTGGTAAATACAAATACCTTGAACACAATCTCCCTGTTTTAACAAGTTGTACAAATGAGAAAAGTCTTAGATCCAGTGATTGGTCACTGCTGAATTAGCAGCCTCAATGGCCTTTCTTGAAAAGTGAGGGCAGGACTGAGTCCGGCTATGACTACACATGTATATGTAGAATTCTACAGTATCAAAACAGGCCATTCAGCCCATCGGGTCCACACCAACCCTCTGAAGAGTATCCCACCCAGACCCATCCTGTAGCCCTGCATTCCCCATGGCTAACCCACCTACAGGTAATTTAGCCTGGCCAATCCACCTAACCTGCACACCTTTGGACTGTGGGAGGAAACCGGAGCACCCCCACACAGACACGGGGAGAATGTGCAAACTCCACACAGACAGTTGCCCAAGGGTGGAATCAAACCCAGGACCCTGAGGCAGCAGTGCTAACCACTGAGCTGTTGTGCCACTCACCCTTTTCCTTAAAGTATAAGAAAGCATCTGGAGCTCATGAAACTGTAGCCAAGCACATACCAATGGTCCAAGAGGAGGTGTGATTAGAAATTAGGGCTAGGGTCAGGAAAAGGAACCAAATAACACAAAGAAGATAATGCTGGCCTTTCAAATGAGCTGAGATATTGCTTGTTGTTTCGCAGGGTAAGAAAGGCATTCTGGCAATGTTGGATGAAGAATGTCTCCGGCCAGGTCTCATCACTGAATTTACTTTCCTCAAGAAATTAAACCAGGTCTTTTCTGGCCATCAGCATTTCGAGAGCAAGGAGACGATGAATTCCAAGTTCATCACTGACACAACACTGACTGACAGCTGCTTCCGTGTGCAACACTACGCAGGAAAGGTGAGCACTTTGCTCCACGCAGTATTATTCGCCACCGCTTGGAATTTCTGATGCATTGCCTCTCAACCACTCAAGAGGGCAGACAGAATCTTAAGATAACATCCCAATTGAAAGATGCCCCTTTCAACAATGCAGCGCTCCCTTCAGCGCTGACCCTCCGACAGCGCCCCGCTCCCTCGGCACTGACCCTCTAACAGAGCTCACTCCCTTGATCCTACATTGAAATGTCAGCCTGAGGTTTGTGTTTACATCATTGAAACCACAATCCTCGTACATGGATGTGAAAGTGCTAGCTGCTCAACCAGGAAACTGCCTGACTTCCGCTTGGCACCTTCCAGTGCACCATCTGCAATCTGTGGAGCTGTTCATACTCACAAACAAACTTGCCACCACTCTGTTGTTACACCATGTTGTTGTGCCAAAACACTACCTATCCTGGACCAGCATCAGCTCAGCACCAAAATTTAGAATTGGCATCACATTTCCAGGAAGGATCTTCAAAGCTGGAGCCACTGTCTGGCTCAGTGGATTTGTTTTTGATTCTGTGTAATCCTGATGTGTGCAGACTCTCCAATATATGAATTGCTCCGAGCCAGGATCACACCCGGTGTAATTTCCAACCTTTCCACTGGACCAAATCTTACTTGGGTAATCTGCAAAAGAGTGAGTGACAACTGAGAAACTGCACTCGACAGCAGTGAGCAATCTCAGGAGAGGGGAGCCAGAGGAAAATGTCTAAATTCATTTTCATTCTTCTTCTTCCAGGTGACATACAATGTTACGGAGTTCATAGACAAGAACAATGACCTCTTGTACCGTGACCTGTCCAAGGCTATGTGGCAGGCCAAACACAAGCTCATCAAGTCCCTTTTCTCTGAAGGGAACACAAGTAAGACATTGCTGAAGAGGCCACCCACTGCTGGCTTCCAGTTCAAGGCCTCTGTAAGGGTCCTCATGAAGAATCTTCTGGCTAAGAACCCAAACTACATCAGGTAGGACTCTTCCCACATTATCCCTTGGTTGAGGGGTTGTCCATTTAGAAATCAAGCAATTGATTTGGTGATATTTCTGAAGATCACGGCAGTCACAGGGGGAGACTCACTAGTCATGGGTTTGTTGCAGTCAGTCTGTCCTCTAAACATTCACTGGATGCCAGTTAAAGTGTTGCTGTTCTGTCTGCCTCAGCTCCACTGAGCTTGGAGGAGGCTGGAAGAACTGTTCAGATGCTCATTTCACTGGCTTTGTTTAAAATTAGAGACAGAAACACAGCTGTAAAGAAAAACGCTTTCTGCTTGTGTCTCCATCTTTAACAAAGTTTTTATTGATCAAAACAAGCTGCTGCAGGCCTCTGCGTATGGAAAATTTTTTATTCTCAGGATGTAGGTACAACTTGCAGGGCTGGCATTTTACTGCCCATCCTCTAGTTGCCCTGCGATAATGGTGGTAAGGTCACCACCTTGAACAGCTATAGAGGCTTGATTCAACTGGGTGACTTACCAGCATCACTTCAGGAGGGCAATCAAGAGTTAGGTACATTGGCATGGGGCTGAAGACTGGACCAGGAGAGTGGGTGCCCTTCCCTGCAGGGTATGTGAACAGCATGCGCCAAGTCTACTTGCACCATCTTGGCATTAGTTCTCTTGAAATGGTTAACCAAATGTCACCCTACCCTGTGCTAACCCCCCACAGATGCATCAAACCCAACGACACCAAGTCCCCAAACAAGTTTGTGGATCAGCTGGTGCAGTCACAGGTCCGGTACCTGGGCCTGATGGAGAATGTGCGGGTGCGAAGGGCAGGCTATGCGTATCGACACCCCTACAAGCCCTGCCTACAGCGGTACAAGATGCTTTGCAAACAGACATGGCCAAATTGGAAGGGAAATGACTGGTAAGGACAGCTTCCTCAGAACCGCTGCGTGCAGGCTAATGAAGTAGAGGTGCCGGTGTTGGACTGGGGTGGACAAAGTCAGAAGTCAAATGACATCAGGGTATGGTCCAACAGGTTTATTTAAAATCACCAGCTTTTGGAGCAGATTTTAAATAAACCTGTTGGACTATAACCTGGTGTCGTGTGACTTCTAACTTCATACTAAAGAATGCGAAACATGTGCCCCCAATATCTTAATGAGTGGGTGCAGTACCCGGGATAGGGCAGAGGGTCCAAGGATGATGCGCGTACTAAATTGATAGGACAGTCTGGGTGCTACCATTGGCCTCAGTGTCCCTGAGGTTGACAAGTTGCTGCCAAGTGCTTGTAAGTGGAGGGTAATGTTGATGCTCTGATCTGTTTAATGCCTGGCACCTCGCACTCGAATCACATGGAAACAACCTCTGCTTGGGTGAAGAAATAAGCAGCTGCCGGTCTCTGTGCCAGTCCAGCCTGGCAACTGGCTGTACCTTTCAGGAGGAAGACCCAGGCCCCAATTCCACTGAGAATTTGGCAATCAGAGTCCACAATGTATTTGCTTACTGGTCTCAAATCAAGTTAAAAATTAGATACAAATGAAAACACAAAGTGCCAGAGAAAGGACCAACAGCATCTGTGTAGAGAGAAACAGTTAACATTTCAAGTCCAGTGACCCTTCTTCAGAACTTCAGATAAAGTAGCCATACTGTCATCCCCTGCTTACCAGCATTTCTATGCTCTGGTCTTTTTTTAAAGTGATGGTGTGAGAGCCCTTTTGACAGAGTTAAATATACCCCCAGAGGAATACGCATTTGGACGGACAAAGATCTTTATCAAAAATCCACGAACAGTGAGTATTTGACAATTAAGACAATTACCACATGATTCCAAATGTTTCAGAAGAACTGTTGCTGCTGTGACTGTGGAAGAGTGGTCTCGAAGCTCTCCCTGAGGACGTGTCAGTACATGAACACTGGGCCTGGGGTAAACCTATGCAATTCTCTGCCACAGAAAGTAGTCAAGGCCAGAACGTTGAATGTTTTCAAGAAGGAGTTAGATATAGTTCCTTGGGAGCCAAAGGAATCGAAGGCTATGGGGGTGGGGAAGGAGTGGGGAATGAGGGAACAATCAACCGTGATTGATTGTATTGAATGGGGCACCAGGGCTCGAAGGGACAAATGGACTACTCCTGCTCCTGTTTTCTGTGGTTTTATCTGAAATGTTTGATGTTTGCCCCTTTGCTTTCATAAAAGGACATAATTGACAGGAGCAGAGTCTCAGTTTTATGAAACGTTTAATGAGATTATTGCAAGATTGTTGCTTCTCACTGAAACCCATTTTGATGATTTCTGCCTGTCTTTCAGCTCTTTGACCTGGAAGATCAACGACGCATTCAGATGGAATTCCTGGCTACCTTGATTCAGAAGACATACCGTGGCTGGAAATGCCGGACCCACTTCCTCTTGATGAAGAAAAGTCAGACTGTGATCTCAGCCTGGTTCAGGGGACAGAATGTAAGTCTGGGTCTCGCAGAGCCAGTGAGACAGACTGGATACTGAGATTTTCACATCCAAAGACCATCTCAGTGATTTGCCTTAATTTCAAGTCAAACAAGAGTCACCAAATTCAAGATGACAAAGATGTTTCCTCTTTCCCTCATTGTAGGTGACCTGAGAATGAATTTTGCGCAATACCAAAGTGTTACCCGAATTACTGAATCGTTCCTTCCATTTCAGGAGCAAGCATTCCCCAAATTAGACCTCCCACAGAAAAAGAGAGCACCACAATGTCACTAGAAAGGAACACCCGTGTGGCTAAGTCAAAAACATAACAAGAAAACCACTGAGGAAGCATCAAAAGTGGGCATTGTTCTTGTGAGAATTTTGATTGTTTTTTTTAATAAATCCGGAACAAAAAGCTGGTATCAGTAAAAGTGTACAAAAAACCCAACTCTTCCACAAACATCTCTTTAAGAAAAGAGGCCAGTCATTTTTATTTAGCCAGTCTGGGCCTATACACCACTTCAGCTCATGTGCTCATAGTTAACTCTGAATTGTCCTATGAGGCAGCTAAAGTAAAAGCTTCTCAAGGCAACAAGGGACAGTCAGTTAAAGGTAGCTTTGCAAATGACATTCCCATCCTGAGTTTAAAACAAAACCTACTGAGAATCACTGTTTGAGCCTCAAACATAAAGGATGGCTTTGTGATCACCATAATGGTGGCTGGTGATGTTTACTGCTTCAACAACTTCAGGGAATAAAATTGGTGTTGGATAAAAGGTACACCTATTGAAACCAAACTCAGCAAAAAGTTTCGTTGTTAACTCCATCTTTTTAATGCATAATTCCTCACAGCAACAAAAGAAATACAAAAGATTGAAGCAAGCCATCATCGTCCTTCAGGCCTGCACCAGAGGCTGGAAGGTGAGTACTGTTTGAGTTTCTGTGGGAGAGGACAAGTGTATCAAGGGACGGATGAAACATGTTAATGATGGCGTCCATATGCCACTGCTAGTTTGACTTGTGGGAGAGGGGGGCAGTGTAAGAGTGTTCTTTTCAGAGACTGCTTCCTCCATGACAGGAGTGAGAATGTTGGCAAAATTTTGGTTACATTCCCCCAATCCTGAGCCAGACATGGGAAGATTAATTCTAGCAAATCGACAAGTACGGAGGATGAGTTGAGTTGGTGCAGCACAGACCTGGGGGTCAAACCCAAGGTTCGCCAGTGGTGCATTTACCACTGGAGCCACTTTGAAGTGAGCTCCAGTCAATTTGTACAGTGCCTTGACTGACAACCACTCACAGGTAATGAGTCATACCCAGTAACCGTGACATTTACTGCGTGGCATCCAACTGGAAACTAACAGAGAAAGTCAACATGGAGTGTTTGTAAGAGATTAACAGATATCTCGGAGTACATTTAAAATCAATCCAGTCACAAAGGATTCCATGGCGACATGTCCTGTGAGATCCAGCTCGAGCAGTTTATTGTTTAACGTCTGAAGCTCAGAGATAACAGCTGTTACTTACTGTTTTCC